CAAAATTCATTTGAGTTCTTGTCACATTTTTCTTATCAACAAACGCTTTTACTTCCTCCCTAAACCTCGGGCGGACAAAGGGGACACTGTACTACATTTTTAAATTCACCTATCAAATGTTGCTTGTGACGAGTTATCCCACCATTATATGTTTTTTCACAAAACACACATTTAATTGCGGATCTTGATGAGCCTTGTATAGCATAATTCCAAGCTATATCATTTCGTTTATTACTATCGGATGACGTCATTTCAACGTTGTTTTATTGAAAAAAAAATTATCAAGTCAATATGCAATTAATTCTACTCTATAAGAGACTATAAGTCAATAATTGAAAAAAAAAGAAGCAAAAAAACGGGGCCTGAAAGAAACAGAAAGTTTGTTAAGAGAAGAAGCAACCTCTGTTATTTTGCAAAAACAGGGCTTCGAAACAACCTCTGTTATTTTGCAAAAACAGAGCTTCAAAACCTCTGTTATTTTGCCAAAACAGAACCAAAAAAAATAGAGCACAAAAACAGACATCTCTTTCTGTTAAGAGAAGAAGAAACCTCTGTATTTTGCTCGAAAAATAGAGCAGAAAACAGACCTCTGTTTCTGTTCTTTTCGACAAAAAACAGAGGAAAAAAAATAGAAAGAAGAAGAAGAAGAAGAAGAAGAAGAAGAAAGAAGAAAGGAGAAAGGAGAAGAAGCATACCTGGACTTTCAATGGCTGGAACCTCAAGCTTCTGAAAGAAGAAGACGATGGCTCGCGAGTTCAGAACGTCAAAGAAGCTCTGTTGTTTTGTTCAAGTTGAAGAAGATATATTGTCAAGCCCTAATCACGACCCTTTTTGTTGAGTCTTTGCTTTTTTTCTTTTTTTTTTTAAAAAAAAACAAAAGGCGACGCTATGGTCGCTTCTCGCGACACTGTCGCCTCTCGCCACGCAGGCAGAGGCGAGCGCTATTTCGAAACGCAACGCAACAGAGGCTCTGTGGCGACACTGTCTCGCCTCGCCTCGCCTCACGCTATTAGCGCTGAGGCGAGCGCTATTTCGAAACGCAACGCAACAGAGGCTCTGTGGCGACACTGTCTCGCCTCGCCTCGCCTCACGCTATTAGCGCTGAGGCGAGCGCTATTTATAACACTGATCTACATGGGATGTTTTCTGGCCTTTTCTTTTTGATGACCGAGAAATCCGTCTAGGGTGAAGCCTTAGGACCAACTGCAGCCTTTGAAACTCTGGGATAATGGGCCCGCCCCTCAACCTTTCTCCACTTAGGATGTTGTCTGGACTTAATACAAGCTAATTAAAATTAGTCAAAGCAGTGTACCGCAAATTCTTAAATATCAACTAGAACATGCCACAACATGCTCTCTGACTTAAGCTGGAACTGTGGAGTGACACTATAACCTAGATAATGGTTAAAAAAGGGGACTCCTGTTACCACTAAGCATTTATTGTGGCTTATCCTTTCTTTCATGCTTTGTGTTCTCCACGTTGCGGCCGGTGGTAATGTTTGACTGCAATGCATTTTGAGCGTTATCAGGCGTACATATCTTTTCTGATTACAAGACATTGGATGATATATATTTTTTGACATTTCCTCTGAATTCTTGCTGCAATCATGCTAAACTAGCTGTCTCAGTTTGCTAAGCTGTAATGGTTTTGGAAAAACTTTGACAATTTCTGTTCCAATTGAAGTTACAATCTGATTCTTTCTGCCTTGGCTGCAGATTGTTTCTTATCCTAGCGTGGTATAATCTGTATCTCTGTGCATTTATTTTTTAAATTATTATGTGCACTTGGCACTTGAGCTTCTCAAGTTATTAAGCTCCATATTCTAAATTAAGAGAAAAATAGGGGCTGCCAAGCTTTCTGGTGGAGTTCTCTTTTGCTCATTCACTGTATTTTTTTGTCATTTCTGTTGTCCGTGAGCTATAAATGACTTAGGTCTCATCTGTTGCCAAATACGATGTTTCGCCAGATAGCTGTATTTTATTTAAAGGAGAAGATGATAATGATTAAAAAAACCAATAGATGAAGAAAAAACATTCATTCATATGCATTTTATCATTCTTATTCCATTCAACGAACTGGCATCTGAATGTCTGAGGTGTGAAGGCATCTTAACAGGAGTGCAGCAGCTCTCCTGAGAGGGATATGAGCAAGACACACTTATGTGCTTTTTGTTTCTTAACCATTATAAAATACGCAGAATGCGTTACGCATATACATGGATAGATACAACTGTCGGACAATGAATTCTGTTAAAGTATTTGTTAGAAATTCTCTTTTCTTAAGTTTTGCACTTCCGGAGAAAATTGTTGGAATAGATAATTTGATACATTGTTGGATACACTTCTCAAAGTTGAGAAAAAAATCTAAAAGCACTACTGTTTCTTACAATTGGATGCATGGTTAATTTGCTGAAAGGCATGATGGATTTGTTTTCTTGCATGCAGCTATTTTCTCCCTTTGAAATTGTTCTGATGGATGCATGATCATGAGTCTGTGACTTCTGCATTACTCAGGTGGTGATTTCCCTTATGTGTCCTAAACGCGTAGGAGTTGATTGAAAGATTGATAGCTTCTTGCTAGGTTAGCATCATGGGACACAATCGGCAAAAAGATAAGAATGGTTACCGTAGTTCATCAAAGGGTAATGGCGATGATGGCACATCAGCTAGGACAAGACCTCTCAGTTTTGATGACATCATGCTTAGAAGGAAAAGTAAGGAAGAGGAAGTGGACATTAAGAACAATTTTGTAGGAGCTGAGAGTGTATCGCGTAAAGAAGACAGGCATAAGAGGACTACTGATGGTTTAGAACCTGAGCGAAACCGCTACGATGAGTCATTACCTAGTGCTTCCAGACATACTTCGGAGGATTCTAGGAAGTTTGCATCAAGGCAAACAGAGAATAATATGATGGCTGAAAAATCAGCTAGGGGTAAACATAAAGATAGTAGAGAATCTGAAATCAAATCAAAGACATCAGTGAACAAAGATGTAAGCAATAAGAGACTAGCTGGTAGCAAAACCGACAAAGATTATCTTGTCCGGAGAAGAAAAGACGAGGAGTTTGTTGATGATACTGGAAATGAAACTGGTAAAAGACATTCAAGAGATTTGGCCCGAAAGGAGAGATCAACAGATAAAACTGACAGAAGACGCGATGACGGAAGAAAAGACAAAGATCCTGATAAGGATGAGAGACAGTCATACAGGAAGAGGAAAGATATGGAAGTGCCAAGTGATGCTCCTCTGGATGAGGCTGAGAAAAGGCATTCAAGAAATCACGGACGGAGAGATAGTTATGCTGACAGAACTGAAGTAAAGTCTGAATCAGGTAGAAGGAAGCACCGAAGTGATGACGAGGAGAGAAACAGAGACAAGAATGCCGATAAAAAACACAGTTCATCGAAAGTTTCTGAAGTTACCGGAAGGGTGGAATCTTCTCGGGCTCAGCTGGAGGAAGAAAGACCAAAGAAAAGGCGGTCAAGAAGTCGAGAGCATGATAAAGATCGAGGTAGAAGGTCTCGTTCTGGCTCACCAAGAGGACGTAAGCATTCATCTCATGATCTCAGAGAGCGTGGCNGTGGTGAGTTTTCCTCGCATTCTTCCAAAGATAAATCTGGAAGATCACATTATGATCTGGATAAAAAGATATCCAGCAATGGTTCAGATAGCCACTCCAAGCGCCATGCAGAATCTACAAGTGGGCTTGGGGGCTATTCACCAAGAAAGAGGAAATCAGAGGCTGCTGCTAAAACTCCTCCTCCAACTAACCGCTCTCCAGATCGGAAAAATGCTGGGTGGGATCTACCACCTGCATCAGCTGGAAGTAATGTTGCTGGTTCTGTTCCTTCTAGTGTTCAGCCTTCAATGCAATCTGTAATACCAAATATACATCAGCTCTCTAGCGTGGTTCCTGCTAATACAT